CATATCAGGTTTATTTCAAACCTGACAAAGGTTGCGGGAAGATTGAGTCAAACAAAAGATGACGAGATTAAATAAATCTTTCCAAATGCAAAGAAAAGGAAATATTGGATTTGAAATCCTGAAAAAGAGCAAGGCATAATGAAAGAATAGAAGAAGAAAGCGAGAGAGCTCTAGATGGTTCCCATACGACGGAGGATAGTATGCTTTCATTGGGAACAGGCCCAACGAGAAGTAATGGTAAAAGATGCATTCATATGGGAGTTCCTAGATTGGGTTTACAAGACGGCCCATCACTTGTACAGATAATATGAGGCAGCGAGACGTCTAGCCAGGTGAAGCCAGAAAACTTGTCAACCTATTAGAAGTCGTCCAAAGTTTAGAGGAACCACTCAAGTGTACTTTTAAATATTTTTAGTCTTATTGTAATAACACTTTTTTCCCAATGATTATTCATTATGACAGTCACTTTTTGGGATCAACACCTCGCCTTTTGAATCTTGCATGTTTGCATTTTAATTTATGAATCACATTAATTATTTTACATGCATTTAACTGAAAAAAATATGATTAATTCGTGAAAGATTTTATTTTAGTAACACCCCATGGATTCCATGAATGAGATAATATCACGTTCTTTTTAAATCATTAGTTTATTATTAAATATATATTATTTAATTTTCATTTTTAAATTGAGATAACTTTTCATTTTAATTTTCTTTTATTTAAATTTGTTTCTATTTTTCTTTTAATTTTCATTATTTTTTTATATGACTTATTTTTTATATTCTTTTTATTTTAACTCTAATTTAATTGGTTTTTTAGTTAACGTTCTAAAATTATTTTTTCCTTTTAAATTAAATTTTTCCTTTTATATTCATGATCCGTTATTTATTGATTGAATCATTTGTATTTATTCATCATTTCATGCCTTTTAGATTTGGTTTTTTTATTCTAATTTTAATTAATTTACCTATCTAATTATGCTTTCAAAGTTGAACATTAATTTGTTTTCATTTTTTCAGATTAGACCTAAATCATGTATTTTTTTTATTTTTTATTTTTACAATCCTAATTTATTATATTTTAAATTAACAAAACTCAAAGTTAAGTAATTTGGATCAATATTTAAATTTTAACCTAAAATTTAGTTTTTACAATTAAAACAATCGGGTAATCGTGTTGGTATTAAAAGAGTAATACGTGGGTGCTCATCCTTCCTCGATTATAACCAACTCCTAAATCCGATATTTCTCTGGTAAGATGTAGATTCGGTAAATTGGTAAGTTTAATGTGTCCAATCTACCTAATTCAACAACGACAAGTGGCGACTCTATCACATATTCCAAGTCAAGACGCGAAACTGGGACCACCCGAAGATTGTTGCGAAAATATTGCTTTAGAAACCATTGCTTTAGCAACGGACTAGGTGGATACCCTGCTTACGTCTGCTACTAGTAAAGGGAAAAAGAAAAAAGAAGACGATCTCAGGAAATTGTTCGGGATGATGATGGTCTATAATTCAATTTTTGTTATCCTTATTTATCAATGGACTTGTTCTAGCCTTTGCATAAAGTTTTCGTTAGTTGGATTAGAATTTTAATTGTTGTTTCTATGTACAGAACTTCAATTCCAAGGAATGTCTGAGGTGTATTATGCAATTGTTGGTAAATATTGTTGTCAGAGATATCTACTATTCTCTAGATTCGATGAGGTATTAAAATGGATGGGGAAGGATGGTTTTCTGTAACTCTAGAGCTCATTGCTAGGCATCATGCATCCTGTTGTGGGAGTGGCATTGTTGTTGACTCTTTTACTAGAGTTGGTGGGAATGCCATTCAATTGTCCCAGAGGTGTGTACCATTTCAAATTGGTTTTGTGCTATAATTTTATTCCCATAATTTTCTTGTAACATGTGAATCCTCAGGAGCGCACATGTCATTGCTTTTGATATTGATCTAAAGAAGATCGATTATGCATATCATAATGTAGCTGTATATGGTGTCAATGACCATATAGATTTGTAATTGGAGGTTTTTTCACTCTGGCACTTAAGCTAAAGGTACCAGTCTTGGTTTATTGTACATTATACTTTTAGTTCTTACTTTATATGACTATTTATTCTGTCCAACAGAACAACCATCCTTTTACCTCATGTATTTGGTTCGCCTTCTTTTTACTTGCCTAGTAGCTTTTTACATCCATGTATCTGGTGCTGTAGGCAGACACAGTCTTCTTATCACCTCCTTGGGGGGTCCTGATTATGCTAAAGCAGAGATATATGACCTGAAGACAATGCTGAGGCCGCACGATGGGTACTTCTTTTTTCTCTACTACCAAAGTGTTTGTCACTATGCTAACATTTAAATTTTATTTTTGGTGCATCTTAATAGTTGTCTTGATTCCGTTTTCATTACACTTCTACATATATTCCCGGATTAATGTTGCGAAGAAAATTAGGTGTAGAATTGCCATGTTTCTCCCTAGAAATGTAGATCTCAACCAATTGGCGGAAATAGCTATGTCTGTAGAGCCTCCAACCTCTTAAATTTTATTCATTATTGAAATTTACTGAGATTTATATATTTACATACACACATACTTAGTAAGATATTGTAACCCTCTAGACCCAACCTAGGAGTTACAATCAAATCTAGAAGATCACATGTCTATTCAAAAGTTCTTTTTATATTTAAAATGCAATCCAATCCATTTCAGTTAATGAGAACCATGTAACGGTAAAATACAAAAAATAACCATCATAAAAATACATGCGGTAAATATACAGAGATATCGATGTCGAGAAAACAAATATCGATAATATAGATACGTAGGCAGTAATAAACATGTGCTACCAAATTAAATATAAAGGGCATATAGGAATATACAGTGATACAAAATGGAGAATATTCGATCCTCCTAATACCAAGTCTACTAGACTACTGTCGAGTAGTATCTGAAAAGTTAAAAATTAAGGAATGAGCTAAAAAGCTCAGTGTACTCATTGCAATGTATAAAAACATACAAATAAAATACTTCAGTAAAAGTAAAGTATAAAATAGGTTTTGAAAACATGAACATTACCCTCATCCGAACACTAGAATGTGTAGGTTCTCCTGAACCATACACTCACATGTACACCCGGTAAGGACCTTATACCGATAGCATAAGGGCCTGCGGTAAGGACTTACCATGTGCACAAAGCAGAGGAGCCTGCGGTGAGGTCTTATATGCCATAGACTAATCTTGAAATACTTCCTCAATAATACCCCCAATGATAGTAAATATGTACGTATTTGAGTGAAAACAGTAGTTTAATTTATTAAATTATTAAAACATGCAAATTTCTAGAATCTGATACAAAAATACGATAATCAGATATCAAGCTAGAAGCATTTGGTAATTTATATATCATGCAGTAAGAATATAAAATCATAATTCTAAAACAATTCAATAGATATTTCAAAACAATACTGTAACACCAACAGGAAAACACTTGTACCGATTTGAGAAGTCTCGGGTGATAGCCTACTCTCGAGTCTTCCTATCACAGTCAATGGTAGTACTAGATCCTATGAATCGAAACAACTAAGTCAGAATCCTAATAAAATAAGTAATAAACATTAATTCAACTATTTATAGAAACCTATGAGTAGCTCTCGAAGTACGTAGACCAGACTGATTACCGAGCGAGAAGTACTGAATCTAGTCGACCCTCGACTAGGGGACTCACAAGTACCTTTATGAAAATATAATCCCAGATCAATTCTATAATCAAATCAAGATAAATAGTCAGAAATGCTAAAAATACAAAGCATTTTCAGTTTAACGGGCCTGATTCGGGGCTTTCAGGTTAGAATTTTGCGAAAGAGACCATAAAATCATATTCAAGACATGAAAAACATTGAGGGTAGGTTTTCTAAAAAAATCAACATCGATTAATGGTCAACGATGAAGGTCTGCTCGGCTCAACTTGGGTTGATTCTGTAAGGCTGATTTAGTTTGGGGTTTGGGTCAGACGGGTCAGATGCGGGTCAGGTCGATCGTGTATAGGTCAAGTCAGCAAGTCGAGTAAACTTGCTTCCAGGAGGTGGACGATCCCACGCACAACGGCAATATGTTGGGACGCGTGTGGTGGTGTTTGGAAACGAAAAATTTTCAAAAAAAATCTAAAATTTATTTTAAGGGATTTGAGACACTTACCTAGCTCAGTTCACAATGGTGAATAGTGGAGCTTGATTTGATAACGTCAAAAACTTGCTATCGCTCACCCCTCACGCTAGTAACTTTAACGATGAATTGAACATTAGTGGACTTGGGACGACGTAGGAAATCTAATAGTGATGACGTGATGAAATCAAAACAACGATCGACAGTGAAACAACGTTGAAAAATTTTGGCCAAAGGTTTGCCAATAAGTAAGGTTGAAGAGAGAGAGAGGGGGGAATGGTTTTTAAGTTTCCAGAAATGGAAAAATAAAAATTGGGAAGCTTTTAAACTCACCCAAAAATAAAATGGTAAAATCATGTCATAGGTCCTCTAACTTTGGCTACTTCTTGATTTAGACCCATATTAATTAAAAAATCATTTTGGTCCTCGAATTTAACTGAATTTCAATTTAGTCTTGAAATTAAAATTAAAATAAGCCCTAATTGAGGTGTGATAACTCTCCCCTTAAAAGAAATTTCGTCCTTGAAATTTACCTGGCATGAATAAATGTAGAAACTGAGCCTTCTTTGAATCCTACGTCTCCCAAGTAGCCTCTATGGGACCACAGTTACTCCACTGAACTTTGACCATTGGGATACATCTGTTCCGAAGAAACTCTCTTATCCTAATCCAAAATCTGAACAAACTCCTCCTCATAAGAAAAATCCATCGTGATGCACTCCTATTTCCACTATGGAATCATAATGGGTTGTAACAGACCATATAGATGTTGATGCTCTACCTTAATCTGCTGACAAGTCACACCTCACCACTTAATCAGAAATATCTTTTTTTCATGCCACCCAGTAGTAACGCTCTTTGAGATTCTTATACATCTTGTCTCTACCAGGATACATAGAGTAAGGGTTGTTGTAAGCCTCCTGAATAATGGTCTTTCTTAACTCATCATCCTCAGGAACACAATAATGGCCATGGAAGCACATAATACCATCCTGACTAAGAGTATACTTTAAACCCGATCCCTGCTCAACTTGCTTGATAATGGAAAGTAAGGAACTATCTAGGAGTTGCTTAGTCCTAATCTTGTTGGCTAGGGTCGACTTAACATGTAACTCTACTAATAGACTACCATCATCATACAAGCTCAACCTGGCAAACAAAGCTCTCAGATCAGATATTGTCTTATGACTCAAGGAATTGACCATCATATTGGCCTTGCCTGGATGATACTTTAACTCATAATCATAATCCTTTAGAAGATACAACCAATGAGAATGCCTCAGATTCAACTCATTCTAAGTAAACAAATACTTCAGACTCTTATGGTCGATATAGATATAACACTTCTCTCTATAGAGATTGTGTCTCCAAATCTTAATAGCAAGATCATTGCAACTAAATCTAGATCGTGGGTGGGGTAATTACGCTCTTGCTTCTTTAACTGATGGGATACATAAGCTAGAACCTTTTTATCTTACATCAGAACACATCCAATCTAGAGTGAGAAGTATCACTGTAAACTAAAAAATTCTTCCCATACTAGGGTTAAATCAACACTAGGCTTCGTTAAAACCATCTTTAGTTTCACAAAGCTAGAATATTGAGCTTCAGACAAGATAAACGAGCCATCATTCCTCAATAATTTCATCAAAGAGCTGTAATGATAGAGAAACCCTAATGAAACTTCGATAATAACCAGATAAGCCCAAGAAACTACAGATCTCCGAGATGTTCTTAGGTGTCTTCCAACTCAGAATTGCCTCTACTTTACTAATATCCACCCGATACCCTCAACAGATACGATATAACCTAGAAAAGCCACATTGATGAGCCAAAACTTACACTTTCTCAACTTGGCTAATAACATATACTCCTTCAAGGTCTTTAAACATCTTCAAATGCTCATCGTGCTCTATTTCAGTCTGGGAATACCCATATGTCATCAATAAACACGGTCACAACTGATCCAAATAAGGTCAAAATACCCTATTCATCAGATCCATAAAAGTGGCAGCGACATTAGTTAACATGAATGACATCACCAAGAACTCATATTTCCCATATCGAGTATGAAAAGCGGTCTTACGGATGTCAAAATCTTTCACCTTGAGTTGGTAATAACCAGATCTCAAGTATATCCTCGAGAAGATAGTAGCTCCTCGGAATTGGTCAAACAAATCATCAATCCTGGGTAAGGTTATTTGTTCTTAACCATTACATTGTCAGCTTCCTGTAATCAATACGTCTTAATGTCCCATCTTTCTTCTTGACAAAGAGAAATGGGACACCCCACGGTGAAGCACTGAGACGAATGAATCCCCTATCCACAACTTCTGGAGTTGGACCTTCAGTTCTTTAATCTCCTTAGGCCCATACGGTAAGGAGACATCGAAATTAGAGTCAACCAGAGTAGACTTCAATCTTAAACTCAACTTCTCTATCCACTGGTAAGCTAGGAAACTCCTTAAAGACATCAGGAAAATTTTTAACTGTCTGGATTCTTTCTATTTAGATCGGGAACCCATGGTATCCAGAATATAAGAAAGGAACGCCTCAGAAGCCTTCCCATTATCCTTTCAACTATCAAGGTAAATACAACATTCTTCAGGAACCTACGATGTTCCCCGATCATCACTATCCTCTTGTCATTAGGAGTTTTTAGAATAGCTCTCTTGGTCTCATAGTCGAGATTAACTCGATGCTCGTCTAACTAATCCATGCCAGAATAAAGTCAATTCCTCTAATGGCAACTCCATCAGATCCGCCAAAAATACCTCCCCATGATCTCTATAGGGCACACTCTAAAAATCAAGCCTATGTCAATGGACTGACCTATGGGGCTTAGAACTATCATAGGACTCTCGATATTCTCAAACGGGATGTCAAGACCCCCCCCCCAAATAAAGAATATGATACATAAGAATAGGTAGATCCAAGATCAATAAAGCAAAGTATATAACTAAATGAATAGTAATAGTAACTGCAATCACATCAGGCTCATCGCGATCTTGTCTACATCTAGAAGCATAACCAATACAAGTTATCTGGCCTCAGTTCGTGCTGTACTCCACTCGGATAACATATAATCAAACAAGGTCTGACTCTCTAGGGTCCCATAGAGTCTCCAAGCTATCATAACCATTGTTATTATATATTTTTCGTTTAAATAATTATAACTTTTTTTGAAATATTTTTTAATTTTCATTTTTTTAAAGTTTGGAGTCGCCATCGACTTTGGGTTAGGTAGCTCGATACCTAAAAATGTCTTTTAAAATAACTTATTTAAATTTTTGTTTAATTTAAATTTAGAGTCGTCAACGACCTTTGGGTTGGTAGTTCGAATACATAAAAAATGTCTTTTAAAATAACTTTAAGAAAAATCATTTTTACATTTTAAAGGATTCAGGAGTTGGTTACGCATGAGGAAAGCTGAGCACCCCCCTAGTGCCTGAAATTAATACCCTCAATTATATGTCGTCTAAATAGTGGAATTTTACAAATTTGAATGCAAATTTAAATCACGATCCTTTTATTTCTATTTAAAAAATTGAAAAAAATGAGTGAATCTATTTTAAAAATATTTGAGTCAATTAAATATTTTTAATTCACTCGATTTTATTTGAAAATGATGTCCACTTTTTATGTGAATTAATAGAAACTGAAGTCCAGTTATGTTGAATGCAATTTCATTAACCCACGATGTAAGATAATATTGCCTTTGATTCTTTTAGAAAACGGAATGACGTATGAATGCAACAATAATAAATGGCAATATAAAGGATGAATAAATATCAACATAATATGATATAATAAATAAATAACTAAAATATCGATATCAAAATAAATAAAACAATAAATTTATTAAAATAATTTCGTTAAAAATAAAAAAAATTTAAAATGACACATTTATTCAAAGTATAATAAAGTATAGTAAATAATAAAATATATTAAAACATTTTCATTCGAATAACCTTGGTAGCACCTAGTATTTGAAGGTATTCCATAGAATAGTCGAATAATTAACAAGGAATATATAAATTTATAGTAGTACTAATAACATTTTTCTTTTTTATAAAATATATAATAGAGTATTTAAATTATCCTCTTAAATAAAACATAAGTACATACATAATCTTATAAATAATATAAACATATATCATATATTTTAAATATTACATATTTATATAAATATTTTAAAATAACATTTGAAACATGATTATTTTCTAGATTATATAATTATATTAAATATAAAACAAAGGTATATACACACATATATAATAGTAAAAGGATTAAATCGAAACATTAACCAAAATACATGGTGCAATCAAAATTTCAACC